ATTTTATGTAATTAATAAATTAATTAAGCTTACTATGTTAATTTAACAATTAATATGTATGATTGATATAAATATAACTTTTACTTGTTACTTAACATCACAAAATTTTAATTTATAATTTTTACTTTAAAATAAAATTTTTAAGTTAATAAGTAATAATTTGACCAAGTTTTTATTGATTTTTGAGTTTGTTATATAATGATAATATGAACTGGTTTAACTTGAGATCTTATCCTACTGCAGCTTATTTATAATAGTTTTAGGGCAATTCTCAATATCATACCAGATTTTCTCATCACAAGATAAGAACAATGATAGTGGCTGGTGGGCTACGAAATACTACTGGCTACTTTCTAGCTCTGTTAATCATATTGTTGCTTCTCATGAATGGTGAAATTACTTCTGATTATCTATCAAGTGCGAAGGCTCCAATTTCTTGGATTAACAACAACCCAAACTCTAGTTGGAACTCAGAAGAGTTTACACTGCAACCTATCTTCGTCAATGACAATGATGAGCCTTCCGCCGTTTGTGGCTTCTACTGCAAAGTTGAAGACAACAACACCTGCCTCTTTGCTATCTCCATCTTCATTTCTGGAGGCAGCTCATATCCAATTTCAAAAATGGTATGGTCTGCTAATCGAAACAATCCGGTTGGACGTGGGGCAAAATTGCAACTTTCCCAACAAGAGGGTCTAACACTGCAAGATGGTGATAACACTCTGGTTTGGTCTACAAACACATCAGGTAAATCTGTTTTGGATTTGACGTTAACTGGTGAAGGTAATCTTCAGCTGTTTGATGGAAACAACGAGACGGTTTGGCAGTCTTTTGATCACCCGACTGACTCTTTGGTGTTTGGAAAGACACTAGTTTCTGGGCAGAAATTGGTGGCAAGTATGTCGCCCACAAATTGGAGTGAGGGTTTATATTCATTTTCTATTGATAATAATGGTTATTTTGTTGCTTATATGGAATTAGATGCCTCCCTGCTCTATTACCAATCCTCTAATTCCCAATCAAGAAACCAAACGGGCCAGTTTTATTATGCTAAATTCGGGTCGGATAATTTTGGTACTCTCTCCTTTCCAGGAACAGAAGTTCATACAGCATCTATAGTTTTTACTGTTCTACAATTAGAATATGATGGGCACTTAAGAGCCTTCTGGTGGACAGGATCAGACTGGAAGGAAGCCTATGATTTGTTCGAGGATAGACTTGATTCATGTAGTTACCCATTAGTGTGCGGAGAATATGGAATTTGTTCAGCGGTAGGACCCTGCAGCTGCCCAGATGCAGCTAAAAATGGAAGTACGTATTTCAGGCAGATAAATTCTTCACAGCAAAATTTTACATGTTCTCCATATAATCCAATATCTTGTAAGTCTCCTAACCAGAGTCTTCTTGAAGTCAAGGACGTTGATTTTGCTCTTCCTAATTTTGGGAGAGGTAATTATCACCAAGCAGACATAGAGAGCTGCAAGCAAGGCTGTTTAAAGAACTGTTCTTGCAAGTATGCTCTTTTTATACATGAACATGATAGTAATTCCTCATCACCTGGCCAGTGCTTTTTAAGATCCGAAGCTTTGTCGTTCAAGCGAGTGAATACATCTTACAATCAATCATCTCTGTTTTTAAAGGTGCAAAGTCTTCAACGTGCACAGATTCCTCCATTGCAAGATTCACCTAAAAAAGGGAGAAGACAGAATATAGGAGTTATACTTGGATCCACTCTTGGAGCCTCTTTGATTGTGCTTCTTATTATCTGCATTCTCTCTTTCCTAAAAAGTAAAAAGGATCCAAAGGAGGTTGAGGAGGATTATCTGGGCCACATATCAGTAGCACCCTCAAGATTCTCTTATGAAGAATTAAAGGTTGCGACTAACAACTTTAGCAACAAGCTTGGCGAGGAGGATTTGGTTGTGTTTTTCAAGGAACATTACCTGGTGGAGCTCAAATTGCAGTGAAATGCCTTGATGGTTTTGGTCCTGTAAGGAAGTCATTTATAGCTGAGGTTGAGACCATAGGAAGCATTCACCATTTCAATTTGGTACGATTATTTGGGTTTTGTGCTGAGAAATCCAATATGCTTTTGGCTTATGAGTATATGTGTAATGGGTCATTGGATCAATGGATCTTCCACACAGACAAAGCACTTGTTCTTGGTTGGCAATGCAGAAGGAAGATCATTCTAGACATAGCCAAGGGACTAGCATATCTCCACGAAGGATGCAGGCAGAAAATAATTCACTTGGATATCAAACCACAAAACATCCTTTTGGATGAAAATTTCAATGCCAAGGTTTCTGATTTCGGGTTGTCTAAGCTAGTAGGGAGAGAGCAAAGCCAAGTTGTGACAACAATGAGGGGAACACCAGGATACATGGCCCCTGAGTGGTTGAACTCGGTAATCACAGAAAAGGTAGATGTATACAGCTTTGGTATTGTTGTTCTGGAAACTTTATGTGGTAGAAAAAATGTTGATCGATCTTTGCCAGAAGAGGATACCCATTTGGTAAGCCTTTTTAAGAGAAAGGTTGAGGATGGTTAACTTCTGGATCTAGTGAATAAGTGCAACGAGGAGATGCAATCAAATGCAACAGAGGTTGTGGAGATGATGAAAGTTGCGGCATGGTGTTTGCAAGGTGAATATGCTAGCAGGCCTTCCATGTCCATTGTGGTGAAGTTCCTAGAGGGCAAAATGGATGATGAAAATGAATATGATTTCTCAGAGCCACCAGCACCGGCTGAGGTGGAAACTTTCGGACACCAAACTGATACAGCTGCATTGATTCCATCTGTTTTATCTGGTCCAAGGTGATGATATGGAAGAGAGGACATAAAGATGTACTGCTAGGGTAATACTTCACTTCTTTTTATGATTGCACTTCCTTTATCTTACGATTTTGCTTCTGTTTTCAGTCATTACGTCTTTCCATTTTGCTTCTGGAACATTACTCTGTTTGCTTTTGAATTCATTGACTGGCTTCTTATATCTAACTGCCCAATCAACTTATCTTCTTTTCTCTACGGAGTTTCTTATAATAACACAATAAATTACCTTGTTTTTTCGTGGTGATGTTCTCTTTACAGAGATTCTTATAAAGACACAATGAATTACTTTAACTTGAAATTTGTCTTTCACTTGAATTGCTTTGAAGCTATCATTCTCACCACACTCTTGATTTCATTTCTTTCTGCCAATTGCTTCAGGTAATTGAGTAACACCTTGACTGACCGCCCGTCCCCATTTAGCAGATCCTAGTGCAGAGGGTGACACTCAAAAGCTAAGTCCTTGTGTCTTTTTTTTTTTTCCTTTTTTTTGGGTCCATGGCAAATTTGTTATTTTTCTTTTAATGGAGATTAGTTACATTATTTTACAATTTTCTCAATCTCAAAAGCTTTGTTTTAATTTCTGTACTGTACCATTAGCCACTTCAAATTTTTGTTGTAATTCTAATATTTTAATTCTAAGCAAACAATCTCAACTCTTATATGATTTTTTCAATTTTATTTAGATTATTTTAATATTTATATAAAAACTTTATTCAAATAACTCTTACAGGTAGGTTAAAAAAACTCTTAAAACAGTTTTGATGAAAAAAAATTCAAGAAAGAGAATGGAGTCCATCCTCATCCAACTATTTTAGCTGTGTAGTTTAAAGCAATCTAAAATGAAATTCAAACACAAACAGTCTAGTTCAATTTCTACTACTGGTTTTTGTCCCAAAAAATGACCTGGGCTTAGACGTAACAGTATCGGGCTTGTTTCCACACATAATAATATGAAGGATCTGAGTTGGGCTGCACATAGTCCAGTTTCGGACTTTCTGCCATTTAGAGGATGGGCTTTTGGGCCCGAGCATGAATTTGGACGCTGGTGTGGTTTCCTAAATTACAGCTAGGGATGAATATTGGATACTAGGGATGAATATTGGGTACTGGATATATCTGTTACTTATAGGTAGTTTACCCATTTAGGTAAGTAATGGATATAAAAGTAGTATATCCACAAGTATTAAGTAATAAATATAAAAACTCAAAATTATTTATCCAATCTCTTTAACAGTCTTATTTAATTAATATGTTATTTGTATTTGTATAATTGAAATTGTATATATATATTTATTACACTTTATATTTATATGACAACAATAATTTTTAAAGGAAATATAATAAAATACAAAAATAAAAATAAAGGAAATTACACAAATAACCTATAAATAACAAACCTTAAACCAAACATATATTATACACACAATCAACAAGTATATACCCGCAAATTACTTGGTACCCGTCGGGTTAAGTATCAAATATAGGTTTTCAAGTATTTAAATAAGTACCAAGTTTAAAAAATTATATCCAAGTATTTTCGAGTACCAAATATATTTTAGACTGACCTGTCCCAAAAATGCTTACCCCTAATTACAGCCCTATCCAGTTTTAATACACAAATCTTTCCCCGCGACGGCTGTAGACAAAAACTGGTACCAACCGCAACGGGACTCATACTTTTGCCCATACATATACCAGAAAATTGTTTTTTTTTTTTTGAAGATGGTGGGTGCGGAAGAACTAGCTGGAAAGATGCTAATGTTGACAAGGGTTTGAATCCTAATTCCCTTTTTCATGTCTTTCTTCAACTAATTGAAATGTTCCATAAGAGAAAAAAATAGAAAAGGAAAAAGTTCACTTGGCCAAGATGTGTGCTTGATTTTAAGCTATTTCCGGCAAATTTACATTATAGAATGATGATAGCGCGTATCAATTGTAATTTTAAAAAAAATATATTAAAATTTTAATTTTAAAAGCTATGGTTTTATTTATTAAAATATAATTTAAAATTAAAAAATCCATCTTATTAATGTTAATTCCCACAGTCGGAAATAAAAATTCAATTTAAAATTTAAAAATTCAACTTTGATACATAGATTTAAAAACTAATTATACTAAAATATATAAGTAGTTTTAAAATTTATATATCAACATTTAACAAAGTAGATGTTTTAATTTTGAACTAGATTTTAATTAAATAAAATGATATAGTTTAAGATTATAATTTTATTTTTTAATTAAGTCAGATTGATATATAATATTTTCTTATAAATTAATTTAATTATTTTTATTTTATTATTTTAAAACAAAATATTTTCAATAGTTGAGATAAGGTAAGAAACAGTATTAGGTTAGCTTTGGTTTAAAGTAATTGGAATTTTGTATTAGACTAAAATTAAGAATGAGTAATGAGTATGGTGTATAGGGCGGAACTAGAAAATTAAGTGAAGAATTCATCAATGATATTATATGTATTCATTCATTTAATAATATGTCATAATTAATATAACATAATAATTGTAACATTAAAAAAAAGAATCCAAAAGAGATTGTGAGGATGGGCGTTAATAGCAAATAAACAGATTGCATCCTGCACAAGTACATGGACTGCCTTATTAGCTTTCCTAATTATAACATGAATTATACAAGAGTTATTACCATTAGGCATCAAATCCTTTTCAAGGAAGGATTTCGCCCTGACGGCCTATACCCTTTCGCTTTTGCTAATTCTTCTAGGACTATAATTTTAAAATCCCTTCTGATTTCCCTTCTATTTATACACGAGAGAGTTTGGATTTTGTAAACGGAAGATAAAAGTGAAGATAGAAATAAAGAGAGACGAGCTAGTTGATTTTAACGATAAGATGTCGCCGCCGGTCGAGATGATGAACAAAATCAGTAGCATTGAAGGCGACGATGGTCGTGATCCAGAATTGGTGGTGCAGAAACGACTGTTACATTCTGACCTTGATCCTAATCAAAACAGGCTTCTGATTCCGTGGAGGTGATACAATAACCTTAACTTCCTAACACATGACGAGTTACGGAGGATGGAGAAATTCAGGGAGAGTCATTACAAAGACCCCGAGGATGACTTGAGGGTGCTGCTGGTGGAACCATGTCTTGAGGAAACCGAGTTGAGTTTGAGGAAGTGGTGCAGTTTCGGTAACCATGTCGAGTATTTCTTAACAAAGGGGTGG